ATTGCAATTAACTCGACAAATTTTATAGCAGGAAGTGCTGGTTTTTTTATGAAATTCATACAAAAATATGCTCATTAAAGAAATTAGACTTAGAGAAACATTTTAATCTGACTAAGGGGCACAATAGATCTGTTAGGTCGCAGTTCACTCTCCTTATCCAAATAATAATACACAAATATGCTTTTGAGATTTAATAATTGTAAATTTAATAAAACCACAATTATCAAATCATATTTCCAAGAAATAATGTAAATAAATAAAAGTCTACTAAGAACCAGTCACAAATACTGTTTTTTAATTAATGAATAAGAAGCTTCAATAATTAAAATAAAGTTAAAGGCATTTATTAAAAATAATAAGCTTACGTATGTCATCATTACCTAGACATTTCGATTGCTGGAGCACTTAAGTTCCTAACGCATTTGCCTATAGCGACAGTCGGCTACTACGATTCTTGTAGCTTACAGTCTGTTCACACAGCAAAAGCGTGAACAGACAGGATCAAGCTTAAATCGAAACTATATGGCATTTTTGCTAACTTTAATTCGTAAGCAGTTATTTGAGAGAAGCATGGAAATAAGCAAACATTTAATTTCATAAGAACAATATGGTGTGAAAGAACAGAGTGCATAAGGATTATTGAAAGTTTTGTCTACATCTAAAAGGAACACATCGATTTCTGATATCAACTTTGGTAAATAAATTTAAAAATATTTGAAAATTAAATCGTGCCACGTTATAACTTGTTACTACATATCTTATGAATTAAGTATGTTTCTTTAAAATTGAAATTGATGTAAGGAGTTCAATTATTGAATACAATATAATAAATATATAGGCTTAATAAAATATAATAAAATAGTATAATATAATAATAATAAATTTAATAATAATACTCAATAATAATATAATAATTATCAATAATAATCAATATAATAACTTTGTTAACAGCATGGAAAATCCGGTTCCAGAAGCGATCGGTAATTATAGCATAGAAATGGCAGTAAGAAGTTCAATTATTGATTATAATAAACTTTTCTATATTATTATATACTTTACAATGTGGTTCCAGGGGCGATTGTAGCATTGAAATGAAAGGAAGGGATTCAATTATTGAATATTATGTTATGCGCTTGTTAATATCATCATGTCTAGTCTAAGTTTTATAATATTATTATAAGTTATATAATTTGGTTCTAAGATCGAATGAAAATTGTAACATGTAAATGGCAATGAGAATTGTATGTATTTATTAAATATAATAAACTTTTTAATATTATCATCGACTAAAAAATTACATTTCTAGAACGATCGAGTCTACGTGCCTCACACACTTATGGTAAGTGATCAAGTAGCAGTCACCGGTCTAAACAGAACTTTACTATTCATAGTGAGAGCAAGCAAAGAAATTTCCCTAAAGACTTTCAAATCACATGGGATTCAGTAACAACGACAACCCTGTTTCCAACAACTAAACAATCCTTTTTATGTACTAAAACAAGAATGCTACGAAATAATCTAATGATTTAAAAAAAAAAATAAACACATTTTTCTAGCCTATTTTTCATTTACTCAATAATAATTAAAATTATTATTTTTAAAATATTTTAAAATAAAATTCATGTTATATTTCAAAAACTGCTCTTCATATGCAAATAAATAAATGCATATATCAAATTTATTTATTAACCTTAAATATTAACTCATAAAATAATTTTAACCTTTTAAAATATATAAAATCCCATTTATAAAATTCATATTATTTGTTTTATTAAATCCAACCTAGTAATTTACCTCTTATGGCCTATTGCCGAAATCAACCATTTAATCCAACTGAAACCATTTGCCCATATAAATTTGTTTATAATTTCTTTAAAATTAATACTCTATTTAATATTATGTCTGTCTGTTATTTTGATTGTCGGACTATGTGTTTTTGTTATTTTTTTTTTGTCATTTTGTGCAGTGTAATAATCTCTTCACAACTATTTCACTACAAGTACATCTATCTATCTATCTATCTGTTTGTCTGTCCTCCAATCTACCGAAATAATAAAGCGACCGTATCCACACAGATATTTCACTTTTCTATACACATTTCCCCCATTTCTACATAAAAATATACATATATAAATATAGTTATATATACATATATATATAAATATATATATAGGTGTTTATATATATTTTTAGTTTGCATCGTTTACTTGAGTTTCATGTGATTTAAAAAATATTTCCCTTGCTGTCATTGTTGGTTACTGTTGCCTTTCATTTTTGTTAAACGGGAAATTTCTAATTAGTGTTTACAATTTATAATATTTTGTCAAGTGAATTTCAGTTTAGCATGAGTTAGTCGAAATATTTTGTATTTAAGCACTGCAAAATAGTTTTATTATTTTTATTATTTTGGAATTTGGCATTTAGAATTTTAATTCAAATATATATTTTTTTAAATAATTCTTTTTTTTATTAAAACTTATTAAATACAAATTTTTGCAGTTCCTTAAAATTTCTAAATCGATTCTAGGTCTTTATTCATAATATCAAACAAAAAAAAAATTATACATAATATACAAAAAATGTTAATAATAAAATATTATAAAATAGCAGTAGTTTACACTGTTAAAAATAAGTATTATTCACATTAATTAATATGTTTTATTTATAAATTTATATTACAAATAATAATTATGTATGTATATTTATGAGTAATATTTGATTCAAGTCCTTAAAGTGAAGAAATTAGACCTAGAAAGGGGAATCAGAAACTAGACTAATAAATAATACAGACAACAAGAAAATTTGGAGGTCTGGATACAGATCGAAAATCACAAGAGCATGGCTTGAAATCCCAACATAAAACAGTAAAGCGAAAGCGGTTTCGAGGGGGAATAAGTCTCTCCGAAGAGGGAGGGTTTTAGTCCGTTTACTACATATTAATGTAGACGACAATCGGTCTGACGGTACAAAAAAAAATAATAGTGAATTATAACATCATCATTTTTATTTATTTTTAATTATTTGAATTCTATTAAGTTAAATTTTCATTACCGTCATAACAATATTATATAGTAAAACACACGTTTAGAATAAATAGAAAGTAACATATATTTATTAAATATAATTAATATAATCCATACAAGGAAGACAAAATAGGTTCAGCAGGATCATTAAATTAGAAGATATATAAAGTGTACGTACTTTGAATTAATTATATATTTTATAATATATATATATAACAAGTAGAAAAGTACTATATAATAATAGCTATTATATAGCTATATATCTATTATAACAAGTATTAAAAAAATTTCTATACAATAAATTAATTCATATAAATTAAAATTAATTTATTAAGTACAAATAATATTTTTATTGTAGTAAAAAAGATATGCATATAATAATAGTTATGATATATTAATTTTACAAATATAGTTAAAACGTATTAAAAAAATTAATAGTTTTTATTTTATGAACTTTTTCTACTAATATAAAGATACTTTCATTATAAAGAAATTTTTAAACTAGACTTTATTTTAATCCTTTACATTTTAATGAAACTAGTTGTTGGAAAACATTATACTGTTGTTATTAATATACATATTTTATAATAGAAATACACATATGTAATAGTAGAAGAGCTTATTCTATCTGCCAAATAATAAACAATATTAATTATTTTCAAGTTGTAAAGAAATGATGACAAGAGAGCTATTCTCTTAATTACTGCTTTGAGTACCTTCAATAATTCCTACCTATACATATTACCCATTGAAATTTATATTTTTCAAATCATATACTATAAGATATATGTATACTATTAATATATATTTTGAAAAACACATTTTTTGGACAAAAATTTAAAACAATTAATTCTTAACTAACTTATTTATGACTGAGCGTATATGGATCTCAAGGTGACAAGTTTTAAGTCTAGTTTATTTATAATTAAATAAATTGTTGTCATATGTCACAAATAAGTCCATTGCAGCTTAAATATAGTTTTTTGACTATCAGATATAGCACTAAGATTGTAGGAAGTCTAAGGTAGAAACGATTTTGAAGTTTGGATTATTATAACATACTGCGTTTAAGTTGTTATTGTCGTATAAAAAAATGTCTTAACTATACCTTAACTATAATTTTGCAACACCTAGATTTAAGTTAGTTTTTATAATGTATATAATCCTGTTGACCTATGTCAAAAATAAGTACACTTTAACTTGATTATAATCAACCTATTTAGAACTGAAGTTGTAGAGGTTTCAATATAGAAAATGTTCTTAAGTCTAATATAGCTTGATAACAATTTTTTGATAACCAGGTTTATTAAAAGAATATATGTTGATCCAAGGTAGAAAAGGTTTATTGACATTGAGTGTCTGTTTTGATTTATATAGTTGCTATTTATAAGGTATAAACAATAGATTGGATAAACATTTTATCAAAAGAACTAAAGTAAAACAGTTGTTGATCATACATTAACTGACCTTAACAATTGGTTAGAGTTAGTTATGTATTTTGTAGTTATAATGTTATTGTATTCATTAAACTTTCTAAAAATTATTTTTATTTCATTTTTAATTTTTTGTGAAAAAAATATTATTGAATAGTATTATAGTATTTTTATATACTAACTATGAATGAATCATAAATTGTTGACATTCTACAACAGATTCTGTAAATATGCAGTTTACATCTTGATCGAATTTCTAATATTGTTAGTCAATTGCTTGTATTTACTTTTAACATCCCTGTCCTAATCATAACTAGCTTATAATGAAATCTTGTGAATGAATTAAATTATTACATTAAAATAATTGATAAATAAGTGTAATGTGTACGACACTTTCTCTAATTGGCATACTATAAAAATTAATTCATTAAAATGAAATTATAATAAAATTAAATTTAAATTAAGATAAAATTAAACTTAAATTAAAATAAAATTAAACTTAAATTAGAATTAAATAAATTTACTATTGTTTTATTGAACTTACATTGATTTTTAAAAGCAATCCAAAATTATTAGTATTTCGTATAAAATAATCCAATCCAAAGAGAATTCTTTGCGAATTCCGTTGCAAATTAAGGATGTGACGTGTTTTTTGTTTGTGAATTGCTCAGATTTATGTTTTATGTAAAAAATCAAAAAAATATTTTTGAAAACTGAATTGAACTTCAAACTCAGACCATTGATAACATTTTTGATTATAATTTTTAATTTTTCAAAAAAAGAATTTGAAGCGCAGCAAATATGACTTTAACTGCTTCCTACTTTTTGCTTATATGTATCTTTTATCTGATCTCAATATGTGTAATGCTGCCGTAGTTTTAATTTATAATATTTTAATTTTATTATTCTTAACTCGGACTTGCACAAAGTAAATGTAATTAACACTTTTTTTTTAAATAATAAAATTTCTTACATATAAAAAAAATTTTTTTCGTACCAAAATATTAAAATATACTTTTTTTCTTATTTAAAAAAAAAAATAAAAATAGAATTGGACTCAGAATTTTAAACTTTTGCAGTTGTATTGTTGTTGTTGTTGTGGGAATTTTGAGGCACATGCGTTACAGAATTAAAACTTTTATTAAGTAATTTTTGGTAATTTCTTGTATATTTTTGCCTTTGCTGTTGTTGTTATTGTAATAATTTTTTTTTGCTATTTTAATTAAAATTTTCAATCAATTTTTTGCATTTCCATAAATTTTTCTTTAATTTTTATAATTTTTGCTGCGCTTTTACTTTTGTTGATTTCACTGCTTTATTAAGAAATTTTCTACTTCAAAAAAAATTATTTTTTTTATATTATTTTGCACTCGGTTCCAACACGTCTTTAATGCAATTTTTCTTTTTATCCACAGTGCAGTGGTTATTGTTGTTGTAATTATATGCGTTTTTTACCTTTACTTTAAATTTATTTTATTTTTATTTTTTTTGTGTTTAACTTGTGGTTATGTTTGAAGCGAAAGTATCTGTTTACATTCGCGCTACACAAAAATTTCAACTTTGAAATACTTCAAGCATGTAAGAAAAATTAATTAAATTTTTTTAATATTAAAAAAAAATTTATTTATTTTTTTTTTGAAATAAATTAAACTTTAATTTTATTTGTTGTTTTCACACACTTTTTATGTTATTTATTTGTAGCACAGGAAGCGAGATTATATTTAAATTTTCATACTTTTTATTAATTCTGTGCAATTTATTTAAATTCTTATTTTTAATTAATTTGCAGAATTAGGAGAAGAACGAAAAAAATTAAACAAATTATTTGTAGTAATATTTTACCCGCGGCGCACTTTAGAACAAACAAGCAACAAACCAACGTTACGTTCCGTTTCAATTAAAATTTTTAATTCGATTCGTTTCGATACGATTCGATCCGCGAGCGCTTCGCTGCCGAGTTTTTACCTCTCAACCTTTTTCAAGCGAAATGAATTGTATTGGCATGAATTGCGAGCCGACAACCTCGACGAACAACAATTTCACTCAAACCTAGTGAATGTGTTGGGAACTCTTGGGAGAGCAAATAAAAAACAAATATATAAAAATCTTTTCACTCAAAAATTACTATACACGGGTGTAGTTTAGACTCATGAAATCATTATTGTATTGTGGATACGTGAACAGTACAAATAATGTTATGTGTGGTGTTGAGTTTAAATGAAATTCGCTGAACAAATACGTGTTTCCGGCGAACTATGCTAAAACATTGAGTGTTGAGTATTTTCACTCAATGGAGTGAAGTGAATGCCGGTGTTATAGCATTTAAATTTGCTTTTGCTTTTGTCTTTGCCTCCTCTTAAAATTAAGTTCGCCTTCGCTGTTGATCGTATTGGTATAATGATATTTTCGCTTTTTGGTCGTAGTCGTCGTTGTTGTATTTTGGTCGGCATATAAATTCTTTTTTTACTTATTTGTTGCCTGTGTGCTTAACTATTTTGCTGCAGTAATTATTGTTGTTGTACATTGCTATTTTTCATTTTTGTTATTGCTATTTTGTTGTTTTGTGTTTAATTGAATAAATTTTTCATTCTCAAAAATTGTGTGCGGCCAAACGTATACGTAATTATCAACAACGTTATATACGATAGATATTAGTCCAAATAGCAGCAAACATTATTTATAACTATTTTTGCTAATAATATTTCTTTATTTATTTTATTTTTTTCTTAGTTTCTATTTAATAATAAAGTTGATGATCATTTATTGAATGAGCAAATTATGTGCTGAGCTGCTTTCAATTTTTGGCAGCATTATTTTCGCTGCTTTGAACTGGACTATATCGGCGCTTTGCCTTAACTATTGCTGTGCTAGACGGAAAGTTGCTTGTTTTATTTTTCACGGCATAAATCAACATTGTACATAAAAAACAACAGAAACAAAGTAACAACAATCTTAGCAGCAGCGGTAGCAGCAGAGTTTACAACAATATTTTGTTGTTTGCTGGTTACAGATAAATTATTTATATAATTACAGAAAGTGTAGGAAGTGTTGTTGTGCTCTTTACGATAGACTGTTTCCGTTCTTTACATTATACATTTTATTTAATTTATTACATTTTTGTTTTGAACTTTCACACATGCGGCGAATTTTAATGTTGTACATTTTTCACCACATATTTGCTTGCTTTGTTTTTGTTATAGCTGTAGTTGTTGTTGTTGTTATTATTGTAGTTGCCATTTTTATTGTCTTTTTAAATTATATGAATGAATGAATGAAAACTTTTTTTTCTTCTTTGTTTTTTTTTTTTTCAATTTAGCGTGTGCGCGTAAAAGGCTTTAATTGAGTGATTGTCAACGTATGAAATTTTGTTGTTGTTTCTGCTTTTGCTTCATTCGGCTACTTTTTCGCTTTTCATTAATGAATTGAATATTTTCGCTCTTTGCTTTCTTTAGTGCATTATTGTAATACCTTTTAAAAAAAATCTTGTAAATATCTTAGTAAACACTTTTCGGTAAATAGTTATTGTATTCATAGTAGTTTAAAATTCAAAACGTTTAAAATAATAAAAATTTATGTGTGTAGTAATTTTATGTACGTACGACAAACACGCACTCCGTCTATCCCATAGCAAATATCTCAAGCGACTGATTTGCACGTACACTTACAAAAAAAACCAGCATGTATGCACACACAAACACGTATTTCATACAATCAGTTAAGGTTCACACTGCGGCGAATTTCTGCGCAGGTGTGTTAAATTGTTCACAAATGTGTGCGTGTGTGAGATTTGCTAACTATTCACGCTCTCTGAAAAATGTGCTCAGGCAAAATATTCGGCTTTTTTACTAAAAATTATGCTCACTCACTCAACAAATTACTTAAAAAACAGCCTACAAGAAAAATAGTCTCGAATTGAGTAATTTTGGTCAAAAATAAGTTAATTCATTTAAATTAAAAATATAAAAAAATAAATTTTGAAACAAATTTATGTGTTTCTAAATAAAATTATTAAAGCTATAAAATTAGTAAAAGGTTTTCTTTTAAATATTGATACATATTTGAAAATGTTAATTTTTTCTTATAAAATCTTGTTGCTTCATAAATGCAAACATAAATGTTTTTTCAACTCAAGCTAAAAACAACAACATTATTAGCAGCGACCGGACGTTTGTTATTACCCTATCGTTCCCCTTTTATTTTCTAATTTTCTATATATATTTTCTGTTTTTGTATTTAATTTTTGTTTTTAGATTTTTTATTGTTCTTATTTTTTTCATTTAATAGGCTAAATATGCATATAAATATTGTTGTATGTGTTGCTTTTATATTTGATTGTAGTGTTGTTTGTGTATTTGTAAAAACGGAAATTGAAAATATGCCAACTTGTGGGCGCTCTTATTATGGTAAATGACAAGACGCAAGACGTACTACGTTACGTGATTGTATATGTGTGTGCATTATCTTGTGTGCGTTGAATTCATGCCTGTGGTTTGCTTCATTCATTTAAATTTAAATCGTTGTGAATTGTTGGAGAATGTGCTCTTGCTGCTGATGTTGACTTTGCTGTGTCGTAGGTAAAGCAAAAACAATAACAAAAACAAAAAAAGAAAAAATTTATATGCTGGCGGGTTGTTGGGGCGCAAGGCAACTACATAAGTTTGTATGTCGTACATTGAATGATTTGCTTAATTTCATAGAGTTGCCAAGTGCAGCCATTTGATAAGAGATTTTAATTTTCACAATGTCATTGGAATGAAATTGATATGTAAGCGATAATTCAAAATCAAAAGAACTTGCTGAAAGTCAAAACTCAAACTTGAAAGAAATGAAAGTAAGACTTGTATTTTATAGAGAAATGCACCAAATCCACAAATGCCTTTGAACATAATGTTCCCAAGGATGTGTTCAGAACCGTTTTGTTATAGTATAATCCTTAAGGGTAATTTATCGATCGTTTTTGGTAAAACCGTTGCGAGAAATAAGGCAACCCTAATGCATACCAGTAAAATAGTGGCCTCCAAAATTTATGAAAAAAAAACGATTTTGGTAAAATCGTTATGAAGGATAAGACAATCTCAGAACAAACCAAGTAGTGAATTTTAAAATTATAATTAAAAAAAAAAATTTTCATACAATCGTTACGAAGTGCTAACAATTTCAAAACAAACCATTAAAATAGTGGCTTTCAAACTTCATAAATAAAAAAAAATTGTTCTAAAATCAATTAAGAATCGTTGCGAAGAATAAGACAATCACTGAAAATCCATGAAGTACATACGTATATATATGACTCGAATAAGCTAAGAAAGCCATAAAATATAGAAAAATTTTTTTTTCAAGCAATATAAAATATTGAATGTGTAAAGTTGGCGACGGCTACTGCATCCGAATCAAACACGAGCTGTACGAGCTTTATCACGACATTGATATAGTTTAGGGAGTTAATATCCAGCGGTTTCGCAGGCTTGGTCATATCGTGATAATGGATATCGATGCTCTATCGCAAAAGGTATCTAAAGCAGTAATTGGAAGAAGAATGCATATCTCTTATTTAAAATGAGAATCTCTTATTTATTTATTATTTTTATTTTTAAAAGCAGCTAATTATTCAACTATTCAAAAAATATAAGAATGCTACACTAAAATTGCAACATCAAAATGAATTAGCTGTTTTTACAGCATACCACATCCACATTAGAAGCAACAGATGTCAAAACAACTGTTTTTTTTTTTTGTTTGGTTGCAAGCATTACATATATACATGGGGTTTAGGTATAGCAAAATTACGAGCTCGCGCAATCTATGCATTTCGTGCACCATAAAATAATTGAAAATGCCTAAATGAAACAAGTGGAAACATGGTATTAATGAGGTTTTATTTCAAATTTTTATTTTTATTTTGGCAACTCTAACATTTTAAGTCCAAATAATTC